TCCGATTAGCAGCGCAAAGCGTTTAGCGGAAATACGAAGAAAAACTTCCTCGGAGAGGCATGCAGCAAAGAGTGTGCTAGCTATGGCGAGATTCGGATGCAGCGTGAGGAGGAGGAGGAGCAAGAAGACAGTGTTTCGCGCGAAGGGGGATGGGCAAGGCACAGCAGGTTCGGCGGGGCAAGTGGAGACGGTCTGCATGACGCTTGGCCAGGGTGTGCCTAGGCGCAGGGTTGCGAAGTCAAAACCGGGAGGGTGCCACTCGTCGGGGACGTTACCACTTCCTCTAACTCCTGTTGTTCCTCCTCCAGGTCCCAGTCGGCGAAGAAGTCCATACCGCCCGCCACCACGCTTAACCTTGCTCAGCGTAAAACCGGAACACACCGTGCTCTACCCATTGTCGGAAACAATTACCGCACGGTGGTCCGATGAATAGCACCTCTGCGTTCTGTTCTGATATAGCTGTGGTGCCGAGCTAGGAATAGCAATCTTACGATGGAAGCTACTGCTCCTACTCACACGTTTAACGCAGCAATCCTGTGGCCAAAAACAGGACAACTGGAAAAAAAAGGAGAAAGAAAAAAGAAAAGAGAAAAGAGAAAAAAGAAAAAAGAAAAAAGAAAAAAAGGAGAAAGGAGAAAGGAAAGAGGAAGGACAAAAAGAGACGAATAGAGACGACAAAAACGGGACAAAAAGGAAACCAGGACTAATGTGACACGGGTATATTCGGGGTCCTATGCGTCCCACACCCACGTACCAAACCGACTTCCAATCCTTCGTCATAATCCGAGAGCGAGTTGCTCCCACAGCCTGTATTTAGCTGATTACATCGCACGAGGGGGGTCTTATTCGAGGCGCACGTCGGCAGAACATTGCTCCGAACTGCCTCTTATTACCGTCCCTATACTAAAAATGAAACAACGGAAAAGGAAAAGGAGAAGAAAAAAAAGAAAAAGAAAAGAAAAAAAGAAAAAGAAAAAAGAAAAAGAAAAAGAAGAAAAAAAAAAGAAAAAGAAAAAGAAAAAGAAAAAGAAAAAGAAAAAGAAAAGAGAAAGAAAAAGAAAAAGAAAAAGAAAGAAAGAGAAAAAGAAAAAGAAAGAAAGAGAAAGAGAAAAAGAAAAAAAGAAAAACAAAAACAAAAACAAAAACAAAAAGGTGAAACGAAGAAAGAAAGCACGCCCAATCACAACGCCAAATTTGGCGAGAAGAGAAGAGGAGAGGAGAGAAGAGAGTGTGTGCCTGATCGCGGAGTCCCTCAGTCCCGCAAGTCCGGATGCTCAGCCCCCCTTTTTTTTGCCTGCTCTCTCCTCCCACCTGTATGTGTGTGTGTGATGATGTGTGTGTGTGTGTGCGTGTGCGTGTGTGCATGTGCGTGTGCGTGTGTGCGTGTGATGATGTGTGTGTGTGATGCTGCATGTGTGGTGATGTGTGTGTGTGTGTGGTGATGTGTGTGTGCGTGTGTGTGTGTGTGTGTGTGTGTGTGTGATGGTGTGTGTGTGTGTGCAACGCAGCAGCCACGTGGGCTTGGTATGGATAAACGATAATTTTTCACGTCGCCCAGTGTTAGCGATAGCACCAATTGGCCTATAGCTCAGTCAACTCGGAACTGAACTGTTGAAACAGATGAGTGCAGTACAGAAGTACTACAAGTCTGATTTACCTAGGGACCGTCAATTGGATGATGATATGTCAAGCCCGTCGACCTTTTTTCCAGTTAAAAAAAACGAACAAACAAGCAGCTATCGCTTTCCTCGAGAGAGAAAACCCTGACACCACCGGCAATCTTAAAACTGACACGAACACACAGAGTTCCCGATTAGTACGACTACCCTCCCTTCCTTGTTGAGAGTTAACGACGGGTAAGCAAAGTTAACCACCCCGTCGCCCAGAGAAGGGGGGGGGGTGGGGTTGAGTAAAGGCGACGAGGTGTGTCGAGTAGAGCCGTATCTATTGGGGGTATCTTGCAGTCTAAATACAGCGATAATGACCGTATGGTGTATACGGGGGAAGAAAGGTAGCGCTAGTTTGTCTGTCAGAACAGTGTCGGTGGGGGTGCAAACCCCTGACACGAACGGCAGTTAGTCTGAGAGAAACTAGCGCTACCTTCTTCTCACGAATACAACGTGCGGTAATGATAGCTTGTATTTAGACTGAAAGATACCCCAAATACAGCTATACTGACCGCGCAGTGTATTCGGCGGAAGAAGGTAGCCTGTGACAGCCATAAAACCATACTTGCGGCGC